CAGGTCGTTTCCATCGGGTTTCGGACCTGGGGGCTTCGCGGGGTCACCCAGCTCGAAAAACGTCGCCAGAAGATGGGATCTGAGGCTCTGGTTTTGATTGTTCGCGATGCTGCATCTGTTTCGCAATGTTGGATGTCAGGCGATCAGATCAACCAGGGACCCAGCAGGCAGCGGACGTTGATACTCTTTGGCCCTGAGGCATGGATATTCCTCGGCCCTGGGGGTCGGGGCCCCAGAGGTATCCTTTGCCAACTGCCTCAGTGTGCCCTGGACATCCGTGCCCCACGCGGTGTATAATACGTAGAGTGAGGGGGCGAGGGGGCGGGCGCGGGGTGGGTCGCGGGTGGGTCGCGGGGAATGGGTCGCGGGGTGGGTCGCGGGGAGGGCGACAAGAGCAACAGCAAACAACAACAAGCATAATCCAGGCCACGGACTATCTTTTCACCCACGCATCAAGGGATGGTGTAAGATCATTCGGCCCTCTTCGGACGGTGCCAGGACGAGGATCAATCCTTTCCAGCGCGTCCCGGAACGCTCTCAGAGCGTCCTGGAACGCTCTGAGATTAAGGCCGCGACGCCCGAGACATCTTCCAGAACCACCAGAACTCAGAGACTCTCGATTGATCCTCACCCGACTGTATCCTCGTCCTGGCTCCGTCTCACCCCTCCCTCTGAGAGTTGCGCTCTCCTGCCTCGGATCCTCCTGTGGGGCCTGTCCCTCTCTCTGGCCCGGACTCGGGCGAGGGCCAGTCTGCTGTCGCCGGGCTGCCTGCCACGGCCCGCGGGGGCAGCGGGCGCATCCTCGCCGACGCGCCTGTGCGCGCGCTCCGTCTCTGCGGGCCCAGGTGCGGATCGGCGGGCGGATGGAGCAGCTGGGCCTGCTGCTGCGGTCGGCGGCGCGCGGAGGCGGGGGGGGGGAGAGGAGGCAGGTCCTCTGCGGGGAGGCCGCGGATGGAGATCAAGCGGTCCCGAGCGTGCCAGGGCGCTCTGAGAGCGGTCCCCGGAGCGCTCTGAGACGGCCGCGGCGCCCGATGCATGCCCCAAGCCCGCCGATTCTCAGAGGTTTTCTTCGATGTACATCGGTCCGATGTTGTTCCGATTCTGCCCTCGCTTACTCCGCAGAAAGCTCAGAAGGCATCGGGCCCTCTGAGAATCATGTTAAGCCTTCTCCACACCGCGCTCACGGGGGCGGTGCAAGGGGGGGGGGCCCTTCTGAGAAGCCCGGAGGGTTTCTAAGGAGGCAGGGGGCTTCTTAAAAGCCTGCGGGCCTGTCAAAGACGGTCGTAGCCTTCTAAGAATGCCCTCCCGCTTTCTCAGAGGGACACCACCCTCGCGCCACCCCCTTGTGCGCGCCGCCAACCTTCTCCAAGGCCACAGTAGAGATGCCTCCTCAGAAGGCTGGAGGGCATGTGAGAAGAGCCCCGCGTCCTTCTGAGAAGGCTTGCCCCCTCTCCTGACTCCCCCCTCGGCGCGCCGCCGACGTCTTCCTTCAGGACAACGCGCTGCCTGCGTGTCGCATCATACTGAGTCCGAAGACTCAGCGCTGGCCCTGCTGCATGTGAGGGGCACCCGTTGCGCCTCGAATTCTCCACTGCGCCTCGTTGCTTCGATTCTATGCCTCGCGCCGCTGGCGCGGTCGCGGACCCCCCTATTTTCGGAAGTAGAGCCACGTCCAGTTTCGATCATGCGTGGTTTTATTTTCGGCCCGAGCCTTGCAGCTCGTTGTCTTGCTGCCGGAGGCTGGGAGCTCGAACCTGAATGCCTATTAGCATCTCTTGCGTCTTCGGATGCAGCGCCTGGAGATTACAGTCAGCATCCTCGCTTGTGTATCCGTGGTCAGAAACAAGCCAGATCAAGCATGATCCTGCTCAATCCCGATTGTCCCCGTCTAGTCCAGCATAGTCCAGCTTAGTCACGGGTTTCTTTGGGCAAGTCCCGCTTAAAAGCCTTCCGTTCCTGCTTCGTAGCCATGTACCGTCTGTACGGGTATTTCCTAGAAGTTGCCTCCTGATGCGCCAAAGGCGCATTGCTTCTTCTAGGCCAGCACATCTGTTGACCCGCTTGCACTTCGGCCCCAGGCTCCCAGTGACAGCCCCGCCCCCCAGTGTATTCATGGTCCGGCAGAGCAAATTTTCGGTGCGCAGTGTGTGTGCCCATCCACCGCCCAGCACCAGCAGAGTGGCGCGTGCTCGGCCAGGTGCGCCGTCACGTGCGCAGCGATTTGCGTGGCCAATGCCATCTTTAGCACGTGCACCAGTTTCACAAGTGTCTCCCGCGGGAGCCACCACGTCGTCGGGGAACGCTGCAATCTGCAGACCTGCCCAGGACGGGACGACAAAAATGATTCATGGTTGTCCCGCATTCTCTATCTCCGCGCCGTCCTTTACAGTTCAAGCCTGCCTCACGGATGAGCCTTTCATGCGAGGGCCCTTGTATCCGTTGGGTTTGGGAATGCTTGTTTGTTGTGTTTTCTCCTCGCCTGGCCGAATGATACCCCTGACCTGGCCTGACTCGTCCTTATGGCTGATCCGGTTGTAATGTCCCATGTGGGGAGTGCAGCTGCGCACCCAAGGTCTCCCAGATACGGGCTGTGATAACTTCGAGTGTCCCGACTGGTTGCAGCCTTCCAGCCTCTCTTCTCTCGTCCAGCTTTTTGCACAGTAGTCGGGCAGTGCCAAGGGGGGTCACCACCAGGGGGGTCAACGGGATCTCCTGGAAATTGGGGCTCCAGGATGGAAGCTCGAGGAATTATTTGGACGCTTAGAGCCTTCAAAGAAGGCTCTGGAGTGTCCTTTCGGGCCCACTCTCTAGATCGAGGAGGCGTAAGACTCGAGTTCGCCGGAACTCGGGTTTGCCGGCACTTCTTGCCGGGCCCTCGTAATGAGTGAGCCGGTGCGTCGTAATTAATCATGTTGTCTATGTTTCACGTACATATTGTTATGTATGTACTCACATACCGTTTTGTCCTCTCTCCGTCCTCTGTCTGTTGCCTCCCTCTCTCTCTCGCTCTCTTTCTTCTCTCGTTCGCTTGTGCTTTGTCTCGCGTCATCCCATGTGTCACCCATAGCGGCGCCCTGGCGCCCCCCTGCTGTGCCCCCGCGGCACCTCGACTGCAGGTCGAATGTCCAAATGTCCGAAGGTCTTGCCGGGCCCGTCTGGATCTCTCCGACGGGAGCAAATGGCGTTTCTTCGGGGGGCGACGAAAGCGGACTTCGCGACTCAGCGAGATGCCAGAGTCGTTTCCAAGCACACTGCGCCAGCTGTGTCACGTCTGCCGAGGGCACCTACACACCACCATGCCTGACCATGGCCACCGTGGGGCCCCCCAGGATTCGGCGGCGAGCCCAGGGGGGAAGTGAGAAGGGGCGGGCCTTCGCAGAAGGCTCGGAAGTCCTCCGGCCTTCTGAGAAGTTTCCTGAGCCTTCCCCGAAGGCGCAGGGCGCTTCTCAGAAGGCGCGAGGGCTTCTGGAGGTCCCTCCGCCTTCTGAGAAGGCCGTCTTCTTCTCATTTACCCCCCCCCCCGTTCGTCGCCGAAGAATGGAGTGCAGACCCGTCTGGCCTCGGCCAGGAGGTCGTGGGCCCTCCCACGCCATGCCAGGGCCCAGGGTGGCCCCGACCAGGCGTGGTGGTGTGCTGTGCGTGTTCCTTTCTGCTCGCTGCGGGCTGCGGCGGCGGCGGGGCTGAGCGGGGCTGCGCTGGTCATGGGCCAACTTTCCACCACCACTACGATAGGTAGGACGGAGGAGAAGGGAGGATGGGGAGGTCCTCCTACTCCTCCCCCTCCTCCTCCTCCTGCTCCTCCTCCTCCTCCTCCTCATCCTCCTCCTCCTCTTTCTCCTTCTCCTCCCCCTCCTCCTCCTCCTGATCCTTCTCCTCCTCTTCCCTCCTACCTATGGCAGTGGTGGTTCGACACATAGTCGACGCGGGCAACCTCGTGACAGGGCAGGCGGTGCCCCCAAGAAATGCAGCGTAATCTACGCCTGAGGCGTGCACGCCAGGTCCAGCGGCGGAGGCTGCAGGACAGGATGCCGGCCGCCCCGTGCCGTGTCGCGGGAGGGCCCGGCCCGCACGGCTCGCCGTGATGAGCGGCACACGGCCTGGAGGGCAAGGCGGAGCGGATGGGACTGCCAGCGATGGCTGGGGGCTGCGACGGGGCAGGGGGGCCGCGCCCGCGGTCGGGACTGCGGCGAACGTCGGAAGCAAGCCAAGGTTGTCAGTGCGGCGCCCACCGCCACGAGGGGACGAGTCACGAAAGTGGGCCTGGCGAGGCCCTCTTTTCTGGAAGAGGGGGGTTTTCCAGGGTGCAGGGGGAGGGTCGATGGGATGGCGCGAAGACTGTCCGCACCACAGCAGCACACCTCCACTCTCTACGATCCATTCCACTTGCCCCCAAACCGATCCCAGCCCCCCGAACACCGAAATGAGCCCGAACCCCCCCATGGACAGCCCACCGGCGCCCCCCCTGTGGGAGGGGGCGCCGGCGGGATGAGAGGGGGGGCGGGAGGGTGCCGTGCGGCCGTCTCTCCTGTGTGCACACGGGCCACCCTTCAAAACCACTCCGACCCATACAGCAAGGATCCCGGAACCCATCCCACCCCCACCCGCTCCCCCACAGCCCCCCACAGTGGTTTCGTTATGGTTGGTGAGATTTGATTGATTCGCCGGACACGCTCGTTGTCAAATCTCCCGATCTTGCTGCAGTGGAAGGGTGCCGGTGCTGATCCCAATGGTGTTGATCCCGCGCAGGTGCGTGGACGATGACCTATTGCTCGACTACGCGTGGTTTCGTTCTCGGTGTCCTCGTCATCGTCGCCCTCTTCCTCTTCCTCCTCCTTCTACTCCTCCTCAGTAGCCATGGTGGCTCAGGTTTCGCTGGCGCGGTGTGATTTGCTCAGGATGTGTGACCCTCTTCTACAGCACGGGACAACCGCATGAACTGGTCGAGGCTGACCCCACCTCGCTAAACAAAGGGGTCGGGAGGGCCGATCTCTCTTTCCGGGATGAACGCCATGCCTTCATGCCTGGCGGTGGCCACCAGCCTGCACTCCACTGGGGACTGTGCTGGTGCGGGTGTGCCGCCACAGCTGTCATGCAGGCGGGCGCGGCTTCCACTTGTCGTCTCCTCGCCGAGTCAGGCGATGGTGCAGGAGCGGTCAGGAGCACAGCGAACAGGGCAATCTGTGATAGCGCGATGCAGTCTGCCCGCAGTGGCCGCTGCGTCTGCGGTGCTACTGCCAGTTGGTATCCTGGCTTATGCGCTAGCGCGAGTACGCCGCCGTCTTGCGCGCCAGGAGCGCCGAAACCAGGAGCTGCTCATCGACTGCCAGCAGGCAGAGGCGCTTTCCGACGACCTTCAGCAGCGGCTTGATATGGTAGAGAGAGCGGGAGCGGCCGCGCTAGATGTTTTGGCAAAGGTCGTGCCGCAGGCCCCCTTGCGAAAGCGCAATGGCTTGAGCTTGAGCGATGAGGATGACGCCGCCCTCAGGAAGGCGCAGGAAGCGCTTGAGACGGTATTGCGCAGCCCTCCGCAGGAAGCTCCTTCCCTGGCCCCCCCAGGGGACGGAACCGCCATCAAGACGGGCTTGCGGACATACATCTACAGGTCCACGTCTGGGGTCGGGGCGGTGAATGCCTTTCTGCAAGAAGTGTGGCCAGGGGCGACTGAGTTCATACAGCACACTGTTGAGGATGTCATCCAGGAGGCCTTTTCAAGCCTCCCCCTTCCCCTGAACAAGCTGGGCTTCGAGAGGTTGGAGTTCGGCTCCAGGTCTCTGAAGCTCGAGGACGTGCAAGTGCGCGGCGGCAACATGAAGGGGGACGCCGGACACGATGTTGAGATTGCTGCCCGGATGAGGTGGAACACTGATATTTGGCGGCGCGGAGGAGGGGGTTGCGCGAGGAAGGCGGCCTTTTAAGAAGGAGGGCGGGGCTCCCGAGAAGGCAGAGCCCTTCTCGGCATGGCTCCTCAAAAGCAGGGAAGCCAGACACGTGACGTCCTGTTATTTTTCCGTGCGGGCCTCTAGAAGTCCCGACCCTTCCCATGGTGCCCGTGTGTCATCTTGAGCCGTTTTGGTTGACGGTCCCATTGGCCTGGCGAGGGCTCCCGCAGGCCGAAAAAACGCAGAGAAACCTCCCGCCCCGATTGCTGCTGCGGCGCGAGCACTCTCTTGCGATGGCCTCAATGTTCTTCGAACATTTCTGGCGGAGTCTGTCTTGTTTTAGCACATCGGGTTTCTGTTCTAAGAACCTTGTTTTTTGTCCTTAAAACATTTTTCGGTTCTGCGAACACTTCGTGGTAGGACTATAGGGATGCCGCGACGGTCGGCCCCTGCTCAACTCTGAGCAGGCCCCTGCCCTCCGAGACGACCCCCCCCACCCTCTCGGAAGGCCGCCCCCCTCGCGCCGCCGGCCTCGCGCGCGCCGCCGACGCGTGGACATCGACCTCGGAGCGAAGGGCCTCGGCAGGTTCGGCCTCTCGCACCTGGACCTCGACGGCAGGCTCGTGGTGTACCTGAAGAGGCAGGTGCCAGGAGACGTTTTTTTGCTACAGTGCCGTTTTTTTGTGTACATGCTCCGCGTGCGGATCATGTATTACAGTTGAGGAATTTCGCACTGAAAACAACGATGAGTTCATGCATCACTTGATTCCTAGATTGAGCATGTATTAAAACATCCCATGCTTAAAAAATCCCATGTATTAAAAGCTGCCCTGTGCGTTCCCTGGCGACCACGGGCGTGACCGGGGGAGGGTCGGTCGGTCGGATCGGGCATCGAGGCCGTCCTCTTGCCAGGATGGGGGAATGATGGCTCACACCTCGTCAGCCAGGGGCAACGTCAGTCTTCTCCCGGACGCCAACCCCTCAGCGCGAGGAGGGGTGCCCAGCCCTGAGCCCGAGCTTGCCATGGGGCGCCAGGCCCGCCAGGCACAGACCAGCAGGGGCGGCGGCGGAAAAGGGATGGGACCGTCAACGGCACGATGCGCGCCAGCGCCGCTTGGGAATGCCTATAGGGCCAGGGATGGCTGGCTCCCAGGCGGCCCGGCGCGAAGCGTGACGTGACCCGGGGGTGGGCATTGGGGGGAGGGCGGGGCCCGTCATGGGCGCAGGGTCGAGAGTCGTGAGAGAACGGGCTCCAGAGCCTCCGTTCTTCGAGGGCTGCCGCGTCTTCCTCGTGGACCGCCCGGTGATCAAGTTCGAGCTGCGCGGGCGCGTCCTGGCCATGCCCGTGCCCGCCCTGCAGTACCTCCTGGAGCAGCTCGTGCGCCGCGAGATCGCGCGCCAGCTGGTGCTTCCGAACATCCGGGTGTTGCCGGGGGTGCCCCCCCTAGTGACGAACCAACAACACACACCCATACCCATAGAGGGGTCGGAGAGGGCTATGGGTGCGTGTTGTCGGATGGGGGTCCCCGCTCGAACGGGTGCGTTCCCCAGGCTCCGACAACCCGCACCCATACCCATAGCCAGTCCTCCTCCCAACGACCCGCCTATGGGTATGGGTGTGTGTTGCTCGTTCGTCACCCTAGCCCGAGGTGCCGCCAGCAATCCCTGAGACCCTGGCATTGCAACGTCTGTCTCAAGGGGCGCTGTTGGCCCGGCCTCGGGCCCCTGGGGCCTCCACATATCGGCGCAGGAAGAAGAGGTGGCCGGGGGCTCCGGTCGTGACGTTTTGCGGTGCTGCATGTGCTTTGCAGGTGTCAGACGCGGGCCAGGTGCACCTTCCCCCAGGGCCGACGTCTCGACAGCAAGTACCGCCTCGAGAGATCTCACGGCCAGAGTCCTAGACCCAGCCTTCCTGCGGCACTTCTCCAGCCGGATCGACCTGTGAGGGTCCTGGGGCCCGAAAACGGGCGAACATGCCCTCTGCGAAGCAGTTGCAATGCCAGGATCTCAGGGAGGGGCGCCTTCAGCAACCCCCGAGCATGGCGGTGTTCCCCCTCGCCACGACCGAAAAATGGGAAGGCGGCCTGTGGTGCTCGCGGATCAAAACACACAACCACGTCCACGGCCCCGCGGTCCAGACTGTATGCAGGGCAGCCTTGCGCGGGCCTCGCGATGAACATGTATGCAGGGCGGCCTTGCCCTGATGCCCCGCGCAGTACGCATCCATTGGATTGCGAATCCATGGGGCCGCGCCTCAGAACCCAGACCGAGAGGGCATGGGCAACTATGGGCCTGTAGTCCGAGGACGGCCAGTTGAGGCAGCAGCAGCTCCCGCCCGGCCGAAACGCGGTCAGAATCGGTTCCTGGCCCCCCCCCCGGGCCCATACAGGTTTACCTCTCGAGGCAGATTCAGCCGTGGCGACGAGAATATTGGCGGCGAGGGTATGTATGTATGTATATATATATATATATATATGTATACACATCCGTAGCCATTTGGCTCAAGGCCAAATGGCGATTTCAGAACTGCCTATGCGGGGTAGGCTCCCATCCAGCCCTCATTCAGCTCTCAAGTCCAGGTCAGCCCCTGGCACAGCTTCTAAGCCCAGGTTCGCCCCTGGCCTCCATATCTCAAGTCCTGGTTCGCCCCAGGCCTCCATATCGAAATTCCTGGTCTGCCCCAGGCGCCAACTGCCATGCTTCCGCGAGTGCAGGCTGTATCTGGCGGTGGCCCTTCTGCTGTTGGCGCTACCGCTGCTGCCGCCACTGGCAGCTCTGGTGGTCCCGCTGCGCGTGCTGGCGCTACCGATGACCCCCTTCATGGAAGTGACCCCTGGCGTGCAGCTGCTGGGCGACAGCAAGAAAATCGAGGGAAACGGCTCCGAGGTGACAACGGCACTCCAGGAAGCGCCTCGGCTACATCCAGTGGAGCAGACACCGTGGACCCCATGGACGCCGTCAACGCCGCCATCGCAGCCTCGCAGGACTTCCTCACAGCTCAGCTCGACTCGAAGCTGGCCTCGGTCAAAGCAGAGATCATCGGCGAGTTCGCAACCCAGCTCAAGGGTCCCCTCGGCGCGGTGGTCGGACAGCAGCAACAACGGAACGCGCAGTTCACGGGCCAGATCCAGTCACTACAGGCCACGTCGTCGAAGCTCGAGGCCGAGCAAGCAGAACTACATGCTCGAATTGCAGAAATGCGACAGCGGCTATACATGCAGGAGGCACAGATCCCCATCAAGGATTACGAAAACCTCATCGAATGGGACCGACCAGCAGATACCAGCATCATCGTGGGCACGGCTGCTGAGAACTTCACGCTCGACGAATTCAAGGCCAGCATCCAGCCCATCATCGACAGATGCGAGTTCGGCGACGGCGAGTGGGAGGCAGTAGGCAAGAAAGAGTCCAGCGCGTCGGTTCCTCATCCAGTTCGGTGGCGACGCGAATGCCTCTGTTCGACGTGTACGCACTTGCTACAGCAAGCTCAAGGGCGCTGACGGCGAATGGCTCAACACGATGGTCAACAGCGTTCACGGTCAGCGCACACGTCTCTTCCTCGGTCTCGATCGCAGCGGCAAGACAGCGAGGCGAGAGTTCCAGACCAAGAAGCTCACCCAGATCTGCAAGACCCAGCATGACACGAAGCGCTGGCGAGGCGACCGCCAGCAAGGGATCATCTATTGCAACAACCTGCCCATCCTCTCCATCTCCGTGGGTTCCACAAAGGAAGAGCCGACCAAATTGCTCTTCAACTACCAGGGTTGCCTCACGCACGGCATCGACAGGGAGGGCGTCCGCGCGAAGTTTGAAGAGGTCTTCCAAACATCCTTGGACGCGCAGAACGTTCAGTGGCAGCTTTAACAAGACGCTGGCCCCTTGGCGCAGGGCACAGTCTGATGGCGCCATCACTTTCACTACCTGGAACACGCGAGCGCTCCTCTGCCAGGACCCGCTCAAGCGCAAGAAGAAGATCACCCACATGCTGCAGGTGCTCAACTCCACGTCGGTGCTGGCCTTGCAGGAGGTGCACGGCTCCGAGACGGAGCTCGCCCACGCCCTACACCTTGGCCACAAGTCTGCGGCCATCTTCACCTCCATCCCTGAGCGCGGCACGGGAGGCGTGGCGATTGTGTTTCCTGGACTCTCGCAAGAGGAGGCGGCTGATCCTGACCGCTTCCGTCGCGCGGCACCTGTACCTGGCCGAATGCAACGGGCCCAGATCAAGACGGATCTCACCGGTGCACCGAAGGGCGCTCAGCCGTCCATGGTGGTGATCTACAACGTTCACAACTTCCAGCTCGCGCAGGATCAGGTCCAGCGCACGGCGGGCACGATTAGGGCGGAGCTCAGCGTCGCAGAGAAGCAGCCCGAGCGCATCACAGTCATGATCATGGGCGACTTCAACTTCATGGACGAGGCCCCGCTGGAGATGGCGGCCCCGCTCGTCAACAAGGGGCTACCCAGGCTACGCAACGTCCACCCTGAACATCAGCTTCTCTGGGAGAAGGGGCTTGGCGACATGATCGAGGTGGACCCCGAGCTCTCCACGCACTACACTGAGCACTCCCAGCAGTGCACGCGCATCGACAAGATCTATGCCAGCTTGCCGCCGTGGCTCTTGACACAATGGTGCGCGAAGGTCGACATACCCATGGCGCCTGGCATGCTCTATGACAAGGCCATGTCGGACCATGCCCCAGTACGCCTACGCTTCTCAGCCCGAGCTCGTGAAGATCGCGAGTCGCAGCCGATCCCGCAGTATATCTTCGAGCGCCCTCTCTTCACCAAGTACTTCGACCTGCTGGTCAGCCATGCCGACCTGGACAGCTACACGCCCTTTGTGCGCCTCCAGGAGTTCAAGCGCCTGATCCGCGAGGCGGCGCGCCTTACCCGCAACGACCTGACAGACGTGCATGCACCGTACTCGGCGGCAGCTCTCACCACTTGCAGGGCGATCTCGAGGGCGGTCTGGCGCAATGACTGGCAGAGCGCACGCACGCTGATGGCGCGCACTGAGCTCGGTGACCAGTTCTTGGACATCTCTGACCCGAACAACATTGCGCTGATCGAGGCCGGCACGTTTCGCCGCGTCTTCGAGCAGCACCAGAAGTCGCACCAGGACCAGCGCACCGAGGCCCTGCAGCAGGAGGAGTCCGCCGCTGACACGCCCTTCCAGCAGCGGCAGCGGCTCCGCAAGATGAGGAAGGCGATCCAGAAGCGTGGCAAGCTCTGGGCCCCAACGGGCAAGACCCTCAAGCTCAAGGCTATCGAGGTGATACACGACCACAGCACCACGGAGACGCCTGCTGCCATGATCGAGGAGCTCCGCCGGCAGTGGTCCCCAGTCTTTCAGGCGAAGCCGAGCCACCTCCAGCGCGTAAAGCGCTACCTCGAGAAGCACATCGTTCCGTATGGCTGCACGGACATGGACATCCCCACTTTGGGTAAGATGAAGCACCTGATCAGCAGGCTCAACAACTCGGCGCCTGGACCTGGCGGGATCCCCTACATGGCCTGGAAGCGGATCCCCTCGTCGGCGCAGCTCATGCTCGACGTCACCATCGAGATCATGCAGGGCTACCCTGTCCCGCTCACCTTCAATGAGTCGCTGATGATCTTCACCCCTAAGGGGTCGGAGCCTGCTGACGAGCATGGAGCGACGAGGATGGCGGCGAAGGCAACTCGTCCGCTCTCTCTGAAGAACACGGACTGCAAAATCGTCGCGGCCATGGGGAATGAGCTGATGAAGCCGATCGTGGCCAAGGGCGCGCACATGGCGCAGCAGGGCTTCTTACCGCAGAGGCGCTTCATTGAGCACGTGGTGGCGATGGGCGCGCAGGCCCGCATCGTGGCCATGCAGTCGGACCCCGTGGAGAAGGACCCGCTCCTGGTGCTCAACGACTTCGGCGACGCGTTCCCCTCCATGTGCAGGGTCTGGCTGAACACCGCGCTGGAGACCGCAGGTTTCCCGCAGGGCATCCGCGACATGGTCGACGCGATCTACCGCCTGCCCGTTGCCTTCGCCAACCTCGGAGGCGCGCTTGAGGTGTTCTGCGCGCTGGCCTCGGGTATCCTCCATGGGTGTCCGTGGTCGGGCACTCTCTGGGCCGTCGGCATGGGCCCGCTGAGCAGGGACAAGCACACCCGCACGGGCAGCTTCAAGGGCGCTGTCATCGGCGTCTGCGCGGATGATGTGGGCAGCGTGATGCCTGCGCTGAAGATGCTGCGCCCCATGTTCAGCGTCTTCTACGCGGCGGAGCTCTTGGCGCGCCTGGTGCTCAGGACGGCGAAGTGCAAGATCACCCCGTTGGCGGACTCCTTCTCGCCGGCGGTCGTGGACGGGGTGCGCGCCAAGATCGAGGTGCTGGTCCCGAAGTGGAGCGGCATGGCGATCGCGGACATGGCTGAATACCTCGGGGTGCTGATGGGCCCGAGCGTGGATAACCTCAAGCGCTGGCAGAAAGTGGTGGCGGGCTGGCAGCGCGCGACCAACCTGATAGCGGATGTGAGTGCTCCGACTTCGACCTCGCTGATGCTCTGCAACCAGAGGGCGGTAACCAAGATCTCCTACCTCGGCCAGCTGTTCCTGTGGCCGCCCAAGATGAAGCGCAAGGAGAACTGGGCTCTTCACCGCATCTGGCACCTTCCTCCTCAAGCGCTGCCACGAGATCTACGCATCGGTGACTGGTCGCCCTCGCTAAAGGCGGTTTCGCTCGAGCTCAGCAACAGGGCCGCCCTGGTGCGCAGCGCCACGGACTCGGTGAAGAACTGGCCGCACTGGGCAGCCAAGCTCAAGGAGGCGGCGGCGGTGGCATTGCCCTTCTACGACCAGACGCTGGGCATGCATGCGCCATCGCACTGGCGCTCGCCGCCGATTGCCCTCACCTTGGAGGAGGCAGCTGGCGGCTTCCTGGACGACCTGAACGAGCAGGTGGCCACCGTGTGTGGCCAGGCACTGAATGAGTGGCGCGCAGAAAAAGCTCGCCTGCTTGTTCCCCGCCCGAATGCACGCTTGCGCATGCAGAAGCATATCCACTCCCACCTAGTCCCCTCACTCCTTGTTGATCGCCTCCCCTCGACCTTCCTGACCCGCCTCAACTCCTGGTCGACAGAATCACAGCCATGCGTGCAAGCACACATCGACTGGGAGCCGCTCAAAGAGCTGCTCAAGTCTGATTTTTCTCCTGCGTCTCACTCCGCCCTCCTCAAGACTTGGGCGGGGGGATGGACCACGAGCCGTCGCCTGCACACGCGTGACGAGAGCGCAGGCGGCCCATGCGTTTTCGGCTGCCAGCAGTGTGAAGCTCCTGATGCATCTGACTCCCTTCTCACTATGTGGATTAGGCTCACATGTGGCGCGCAGTCTGCACGGTGTGGCACGTTCGCTTGTGTGCTCTGTGCTCGCTTCTTGCTCGTCTGGGCCTCTGCAGCGGAGAATCGGACGAGTATTCCTTGCGTGTAGCGCTGGAACGCACCATCAGTGTTTTTCATTTGTACAACATTCAGTCGAAACTGCCGCCAGTGAAGTGGACACTTCCAGAGGAGGCTGTGGATAGTGCCCGTGCTGCGAGGGCGCTCCTCCTTTCAACGCACAAGCCTGCTGCTCAATAGTCTGTTTGACTCATTGTGGCGCGCAAGCACGAGCGACATATATATATATATATACATGTATATGTATGTATGCATGTATGTATGTATGTATGTATGTATGTATGTATGTTTGTATGCATGTATGTATGTATGTATGTATGTATGTATATATGTATATATATGTACATGTGTGTATATATATACACACTCGGAGGACGGCTAGCTGAGGCAACCGCAGCTCGGGCTCGGTCCAAACCCGTCCAGAGTCGGTTCCAGGGTCCGCCCCCCCCGGGTCCACCCAGACCTACCCTGAGATCCGACGCTGCGAACGAACTGCAACGTGGAACAACAATCGCGACCGCAGCCCTGGACCCTATCTTTCTGCGCCATTTTTCGAGCCCGATCGATCTGCGAGGGTCCCGGGGCCCGCAGCGGGGCGAACCCCCTCCCACGGTGGAAAGGTTGCAACGCCAGAGGGCCTCAGTCAGGAGGAAAAGAAACACACAGACACAATTAATCCTCGATTTCCCCGAAAATATGTTAAAATATGGGAAGTGGGTGGGAAGACAGAAACCCAGAAAATATATGAAAATATTGGGAATCTGCTTATTTGTGTGCATTTATTTGTGTGTCCTGGGGCCCCTTCGGTGTTGCTCGAGGCCGGCCCGGCTGGGGAGACGGCAGGCCTGGCGGGCCAGCAGAGGAGGGGCAGCGCCTGGCCAGGGAGGGCCGCCGCAGCTTCGCCGGGCCCCCCCCCCCGGCGCGGCGTTCGGGCGGAGCGGGAGGGAGGCATGCAGTGAGCGGCTTGAGTAAGAAACACTTACTCCAGATTTCGTAATAAAGGGAGGGGGTCTCATTTCGGGGGGGGTCTCTTCCAGGCTATCTTGGAGGGCCTGGGGGGTCTGGGGACGATGTTTTGGAGGGTTTTCCCACGGGGGAGGTCTGAAATGGCTTGTCTTGGAGGGTCCAGACCCCCTCCCTTTTATTACAAAATCTGGAGTACTTTTCAAAAGGGGCTCGGTCGTTCTTTACGGCTTGCATGCGTTACGTATCTTTCCTTATGCTTTTTTTATTATTGTTTATTGTTCCTTATGCTTTTGTCCTTGGAAATCAGGGGTTTCGTTCCTTATTTTTCGTTCCTTAAGTCAGGCCGATGACTGTACAGTCGGGTCCCTGAAGAAGGAACCCTTTTCGTTGGGGAGGGGCTCCGTGTTCCCGAATTGTTTCGCAGCCTGCCTCAGGTTGTCCTCATGTTGTCGAAGTTCAACTTGTGGTAAAAAGGGGCCTCGTTCCTCATTTAGGGTTCCTCAGGTCAACGCTCCGACTGTAGAGAAAGGGGGGGTCACGAGCCCTGCTGCATGCAGCTGCTCTCGGCCCCGCCGCCGGGGCCCATTCCTCGGTAATGTTACAGGGGCGCCTCCCGGCGCCGGGAGGCGCTGCAGAAGTCAGCCACGCGGGCTGATTCTCTCCCCCCCCCCCCTCTGCTGTGCTATCTCCCCCCCCTGATGGTCCGCTACCGAAAATTTCCGGTAGCGCTCCGCAGAGATCGGTCGCTACCGAAATACCGAAATGTAGCGCCCATACCGGTATCAGACCGTTCTGAAATCCGCTATTTCAACGCCATCAAACGAAGATCCGGTCGCTACCGACATTTGGGGAGCGTCGAAATCGCTACCGAAAATTTCCGGTACCAGACCATCTGGGCCCCCCTCTCGCCCGGCCCGAGACGTGCGTGGCTCGCGAGGTACAACGTCTCGAGGATCGTGCCGGACGGGCTGCTCTTCGTCAGGGTCCGCTGGGGGCGCAACGGAGAGCCACAGCCACAAGTGGGCGGAGTGCGAAGGGCTTATTCAGGAGGAAAAGAAGCACACAGACACAATGAATCCTCGATTCCCCAGAACATATGGGAAAATATGGGAAGTGGGGGGGACGACAGAAACCCAGAAAATATGGGAAAATATAGGGGGATATTTTGATTTGTGTGTATTTATGTGTGTCCTGGGGCCCCTTCACTTATGTACTCCCAGGTGGTTGTGGGTGGGTACTCTGGGGCTCGGGGTCTCAATCTACTTTCGGGGCCCTTCTATTTCAAGGGTCGAGCGCGGTTTTGCCCCTTCCCTCCTCTCCAGTGGGGCGGGCGGAAGCCCAAATCTACTGCAACACCCTCCTACTTTGTTTTTTTACTTACTTCTTCCGACCGACGTGTACGGCTAATTGATGCCGACCGTGAAGGCGGGACCTTCCCCAAGACCCCCGCTGAACCCGCCGGGTTCGGGAGGGGGGGGGCGGTATGCTAGCCCGGGACCCCCCCACACTTCCCCCCCCTTTTGCAGCGCAGTAATGAAGGGCAGGAGCTTCCCTTCGACTCAGCTGCGACGTTCCTTTTCAATGCCCTCGGGACTGACGACGACGACGACGAATACGACGACGAATACGACGAATACGAATACGGGATTGTTGACGACGACGAACACGACGACAGCGTGTTCCACACGCCGAGGGGTCGGCGGATTCTTCTGGAGGGCTTCTTCTCGGGGGAGAGTCCGCCGACCTCGACACGAGGGCTTCGACTGTGGCTGTGGTCGAGTTGGCCGTTCTGGGGCGCCCACGTCGACCACAGAGTGTCTTCGGCTGGTTTGGGCACTCTCGGGCCGGACGAAAGGGGGGGATTGGGAAAGGGGGGGTCACGAACTCTGCTGCGTGCAGCTGGTTTCGGCCCCGCCGCCGGGCCCATTCCTCGAAACATGGCCGCCTCCGGCGCCGGGAGGCGCCGGGAAAATCAGCTACATGAGCTGATTCTGACCCCCCCCTCCTTTGCTTAAAACGACGCGAAGATCGGGACAAAATCGGATCGGGATAACTCGAAATCTCTGAGAGTCGGCGGGTTTGGAGGATGTATTGGGCGCCGCGGCCGCTCCAGAGCTTTCCGGAACGCTCTGAGAGCGCTCCGGAACGCTTTGGAGCGATTTATCCCGATCCTAGCTCTGTTTTATTGCTATCCCCCCCTTTCGCCCGACCCGATACTCCTGGCCCCCTTGCTTCCCCTCTGCTCCCTCGCGGGGGGCAGCTTCTCCTGCGCTGTGCTGCAGGTCTTCCGGCCTCGCTCGCAGGGCATGCCTCCCGTGCTCTCTGTCCGCCTGTGTGGCCATAGCCGCCACCGCTTTTTTTATGTTTTTTTATATATATATATACACATGTGTATGTATGTATGTGTATATGTGTATATATATATATATACATATGTATATTCGGATGACGAGGACGGCCGCCTGCGGGAGTGTTCTCGTGGAGGAGATATCGGGGATCGGCGGCGACATCAACGATTGAGGCAACTCAGTTTGCTGCGGGAGTGGGGTGGGAAATCGTTGAGCACGTGGAGGAATCCGAACCCTACCCCCGCCTCCCATCGATTCAGGAGAACCGATGGTGGGTGGGGGTAGGGCTCGGATGTCGCCACCTACCTAGGGCAGGATCATGACCATGAAGCTATGTTCGCAACCACCACCGCGCATAGTATAGTTAGTGGACGTGTTCGGAGTGTGTTCGTGAGCGTGAGACTTCCATCAACAGATGTACACAATGCTTTATGCGAAGGCCCGCACACCGCAGGGCACACACTTGCGACTCCCGAGATGCACGTAAGACTGCTGCTGCGGCCGCGCCTCGATCAGCAGAGAAGGGGCGGCATGCTCAAGACATCCCCCAGGGTGTGCCCTCCTTGTGGCTGCGGCCGCTTGCTGCCCCCGCAGGTCCTGCGGGCGTCGGGGCTGCCGTCCTCCGACTGGCTGACGGAGTCGGACCCGTACGTGCGGCTGTCCCTGGGCGTGGCCGAGTGGCGCTCCGCCGTCTGCGGCGAGGGGGGCAGCTGCCCCGAGTGGGCGGACGAGGACGGGCTGCCCCCCCCCCAGTGTCCCTGCCCCCCTCCTCCTCCTCCTCCTCCACCTCCTCCTCCTCCTCCTCCTCCTCCTCCTCCTCCTCCTCCTCCTCCTCCTCCTCCTCCCCCTCCTCCCCCTCCTCCTCCTCCTCCTCCGGGGGTGTGAAGATCGGGGCTCGGTCCCAGGTCTCTGCGGGACGTGTGTGCGGGTCTCTCGGCGAGGCCCGCGCCGGGGAAAGGCTGGCTGGCACGCGCCCGAGGTCCCACAGGGCACGGGGAACGGGCGCCCGAGCGGTGGCAAGGCAGGGGCCGGGGGAGGGGCCTCGGCAGCGATTAGGGGGCCACATGCGAACCCTGCCCCCTCTACCCCCCACGATTTTTGTTGAGGGGGGAGGGTGGGGTTCACTTCGTTCGGGAGCTCTCGAGCGAAGTGAACCCCACCCTCCCCCTCAAAAAAATCGTGGGGGGTAGGGGTAGGGTTCGCATGTGGCCCCCTAATCGCTCTGGCGTGTGCAGTTCTGGCCAGCGCCAGAACGTCTTGACCCGTTGGAGCACATTGGGCCATCTGGAGGGGAGCTAACGAAGCATGTACGAGACCTGGCAATGCACGGGGAAGGGACGTGCGAGCGATGGCAAGGCTGGGGTCGGGGCGTGGGTTTATCCATAGCCATCGCTTGTGGCATGAAGGGCGAGGGGCAGCTGCGCCAGAGCGGAGTAACAAGGACAGGCCCCCCCCTCTTGGAGCGGTCTGGGGGGCTGAGCCGGCCAGTAGGATTCGGTCGTCTGGAGGCTTCTATGAAGGCCCCTGAGAAGGCCCCTGCCGTCTGAGAAGCTCCCCCCTTCTCCTTGGAAGGCCCCTGGCTTCTCAGGCTCCTGCCTTCTCAGAAGCCCCCACGCCTTCTTAGAAGGGCGCTGCCCTCGCGCAACCCCCTTGCGCGCGCCGCCAAGCTTCTTCCTTTTGGTGTGCCTCTGCTGTTGGCCCTGGGGTTCGGTCCAGACGCAGCCGCCCCCCGCCCCGAGCGGACTGGAGGGCCCTCTTGGGCCGTCTTGGGGCCGTCTTGGGGGCCTCTTGGGCCGTCTTTGGGCGATCCCTCCTCCTCCTCCTCCTCCGATTTCGGCCCGCAGGGTCGGGGGATCGAGGAAGGGGCCCCGTCGTCGCAACGCCATGGCGCGGCTCGAAAACTTTTGTCGGTTTCGCTCCCGCGAGAGGTCCGGGGACCGGTTTTGAGCGGATTTGTCCTCGTCTCCCTTCTTGGCCGACTGTCTCGGGGACCATCCAGCGCAGACCCCCTGGGCGCGTCCGACTCCCCCCGCTCCACGGAGGTTCGAGGACCGAGGTTCGGTTCCAGGTTTCGTCGGAGCGCGGATTCATGCGTAACCGCCGCCTGTGGGATCTCTTCGGGGGCCGCAGCAGGCGGCGGATGTGGACATACGCGGGCCAAGGGGGTGGCACCATACATCCATACGTGCCGCTTGTTGATGCTCCCAAAGATCGATCCTACAGGCGGTCGTTATGAGTAAGTCCCCGTCTCGCAGCTTCTGCGCCTTATTCGCCCTTGTGCGCGTCCTGGGGCGCTGTCGTGGCCACGGCTGTGTGCGCCTTGGAAATCTGGTCGCAACGCGCCCATGGACAGGCCAGGGACCTTTTTTGCAATTGGAATTGCAGGGCCCATGTCGATCCGATCGATCCGATTGAATATCCATGTTTCCCAGCCCGACATGACTCGCTTTCCGATTATCCGACGATCTTGTACATCTCAATGCTCGCATGGCGCGTGCGTCCTGGCGCGGCCGGTTCCATTCGATTCTGGCTCGTTGCCGACGCGACCCACCGTCGAATGAAGATCGGCGTGCGTTCACACGGGGGTTGACAGACTGGGTTCGTTTTCTGAGAAGGCGGGGTGCTAGTCAGAATGCGGGGCCCTTGAGGGGCTGGAGGCGTCCAGCATCTGGCGTGTGCATTTGTTCTCGGGGAGGGCCATTGAGGAGCATCTCGGGCACCATTCTTTCGGGGAAGACCACTTTCTCGGGGAGGACCATTGAGGACATTTTCTTCTCGGGGAGGACCATCTTGCGAAAACATACGCGCACGAGATCGAACAAATGCACGGGCAATAGCCGTCAGAGCGACAGCGAGACAAGGCTTGCGAGAAGCCCGGAGCGGTCTCCTAAGAAGCCCCCTGCCTCCCGAGAAGCCCCCCCCAGGCCTCGCAGAAGGCCGCCCCTCCTCGCGCCCACCCCCGACGACGGCGACGACGTCGCCGACGACGACGACGACGACCGCGACCACCACGACGATGACGACGACGACGACAACGACGACGACGATGACGACGACGACGACCGCGACCACGACCACAACGACGACGGCGACGACGACGACGACGACGACGACGACGACGACGACGACGACAACGACCGCGACCATGACTATTACGATGATCACGACGACGACGATGACGACGACGAGCGACGACGACGACGACGACGACGGCGACCACGACCACGACCACGACCACCACGACGACGACGACGAGCGACGACGAGCGACGACGAGCGACGACGACGGCGACCACGACGACGACGACGACGACGACGACCGCGACCGCGACCACGACGACGACGACGACCACGACCACGACGACGGCGACAACGACGGCGACGACGTCGACGACGACCACGACCACGACCACGACCACGACGACGGTGCGCGCCGCCGACGAGGAGGGCCTGTTCCTGGTCCACGACGTTCCCGAGCAGACCCTTCAGGTCGAGGTCTTCGACGCCGACTTCGCCAAGCAGGACGACCTCCTGGCCACCGCCCTCCTGAGGCCCGGGAGGGGAGAAAGCGGCACCGGCACAGTCACGACCTCTCGGAGATCCCCCCGGGATCCCTCGGACCGTCGCTGGAGCCTCCTGGCGGCGCCTCAGCGCGCCAGGGAGGGGGGGCTGCCCGAGCGCCGCTCCGAGAAAGGTCCCTGCGGGCCTGCGGAAGTCTCTGCTGTGATGCCGCCTTCTTCTTTCGGGGGAGCGTAAGACCCGGGTTTGCCAGGACTCGGGTTCGCCATCGTTTGTTGACGACCGCGCCTCGGATTTTGACGAGGAGGAGTTTCGTGGGATGTCTGCAGCGGGAGGCCTCGTCAAAATGCAGGCTCGGCCTCGTCATTTTTTTGACGACCTCGTCGGGCCAACCCGAGTCCCCCGTACCCGGGTCTTACGTCTCCCCGATTCTTTTGTCAGGGCCAGGGAGCTCGTCCAGGCCGGGCCCGGCGAGCAGAGCGTGCGCCTCGAGAGGGCGCCCCTGTTCAAGACTCGGCCGCGTGCAAGGGCGCCCCTTCGCCGACCGCTCGGCGCGATGCGGTATAGTGGCTGACTGCGCGCTTGGATCTGGCCACCTTCAGACCCTGCACCTGCGCACTCAAGATCAGGAGGGAAAAAACACACAGACACAATCATTCGTCGACTCCCCAGAAGAATCTGGGAAAATATGGGAAGTGGGGGGGGGGAGACAAACAAAAACAGAAAATGTGGGAAAACCTAGGGAATCGGGCTATTTCTGTGTATTTATTTGTGTGTCCCAGGGCCCCTTCGCAAGAGGCCACGCTTGCCTGGGGTCACCTCCTGCGCGCAGCCGCCAGAAGCACGACGAGCCCATGCATCTCTGCATCGCCACGCGCTGGCTCCCCCTCCTCCCCCGCGGCCAGGGCCCGCGCGGGCGCGAGGGGGCCACCCCGCTCCTCTTCTCGGGCCGGACGAGAGGGGGGGATCGGGGAAAGGGGGGGGTTACGAAATTTGCTGCATGCAGCTGGTTTCGGCCCCGCCGCCAGGCCCATTCCTCGATACATGGGCGCATCCCAGCGCCGGGAGGCGCCGGGAGAATCAGCTACGTGAGCTGATTCTCAACTCCCCCCCTTTGCTATGCCCCCCTTTCGCCCGACCCGATCTTCCTCGGCGTGGACAGCGCGGAGCTGGGCGAGGCCTCCCGCCCCGGCGAGGCCGTGCAGCTCGCGGTGCCCGCCGTGGAGGAAAGCGAGTCCCGAGGGACACGGGCCCCGAGGTGCTTCGCCGTCTCCGGGCGCTCCGGGCCCTCCACGGGCCCCGGGGACGGCTGAAAACGACTCAGGGTGAAGAACTGGTCCCGGGGGAAGGCCCGAGGGACCAGGACCCGTTTGCCTCCGTTTCCCCGTTCCCCCCCCCCCCATGCTCAGGTGCAGATGGGGGGGCAGACGCTGGCGACGAAGGAGGTCCGGGCCGATGCAGGCGGCGTGGTGCGGTGGCAGGAGTCGAGGGGCAAAGGGCGGCCCGTGTGCGTGCACCACACAGAGCGCACGGCGGGGCGCCGAGGAGCCAGAACGCATGGGCCTTTGGCCGGAGCTCGAGCGCTTCGAGATCAGAGGCGGCCTCTTCAGCTCAGCAGTTCAGCCTTGCGTTTGACTGCCTCAGCTCGGACTTGGGAGTCCCGCGCGTGAGGCGGAAGTGGTTTAGGAAGGTTCAGGGAGGTTGCCCGTGTCTCATGGAAGCGGGAGTGGATCAGGGAGTTCCAGGAAGGGTACCAAGCCCCAATCATCGCGACAAGAAGAAGCCCTGTGTTCTGAGATGCAGCTTTCTCCATGCAACTGTTGCATTCCAGTGTTCTCCATTGTCGGACTCTCTTGCTTTGGGCTTGGCTGCCCCCGATTGAGCGTTAAGCTTTCAAGTGTGAGCCAGGGGTGGTGTTGGGTGGGTCAGAGAAGGCGCGAAGACAAAGCTCACACGACCATGACGCGGAACATAAATAATGGCGCATCGCCGATCCACACCGGCCCATCCAGAAACGATCGACAGGGGAGTCGCCCGAACGAGGGAAGTGTAGAAGCACGCAGTGGAACAGCCGCTGTGGAAGCGTGCCGGGAACGAAAAAAGAAGGATAAAGAGGTTGTTTTTGCGACTATGCTGTTGTGAGAGGTTCTTGGAGGACTCTTGGAGGCATCTCAAGGGGCCCTCTTGGGCCCCCCCCCCCCGCGGGGCCTCTTGGGACACTCTTGGGGTCCTCTTGAGGCTCTTTTGGGGGGCTTCGGGGCCCTCTTGTTCTTTTCGGGGGTCTCTGGGGCCCCTCCGTGGACGGTCTTGGGCCCGGTAGCCAAGTGCCCTTGGGCGCTCTCGGGACCGTCTTGTTGCCCGCTTAGGCCTTTTGTCAGGCTCTCTTGAGCCATCTTGGGGCCATCTTGAGGCTACAAACGCAAGTCGGACACAACAAAGCGAAAAGGCACAACACATGGGTCCCTTCAGGTTTTGGAAGGATGTGGACCTCTGGGGAGGTGCCTTGGACGTCTCGGAGGGCACTTGGAACAGTCTTGGGGCGGTCTGGGTACTTCTTGGGGGTAGGCCAGAGGCTATGTAGAGCCATCTTGCAGTAGCATGGGCCATATTGGAGACTACCTTGCAGCATCTCGGGCCCTCTTGGAGCCATCTTGGGCAATCTTAGACGCTCGAATCCCTCCCCCCCCCGTCCAGACATGAGGGTACCCTCGCCGACCCTGTCAGCAACCAATGCAAAAGTGATCGCGGGGCGTTCGCAAATGGGGGTACCCCCCTTTCCCGATCAGGGGAACCAGGGGTTTCTGAAGAGGGAAGAAACCAACTCGTTATACCACATTTGCCCAGAGTGCTGGTGGAAATACGTTTGAAGTTTAGGGCTGTTGTTGAATTACTGTCTTTGTTGCGTTGCACTTTGTTGAGCGCTGCGTTTGTCTGCTTCAGCTTGCCCTTAGGATTCGGATTATGCACGTGAGGCGGGAGAGGCTTTGAGAGGTTCAGGGGATGGTACGGTGCCCAAAGCGCCAACCATTCAGGGATCGGAGACGCAGCCTTGTTTCTGCATTAACGTGCGTTTCTTCACATCTCTGTTCTTGTTCATTGCACTTTGTTGTGCGCTGCTTTTGGCTGGTTCACTTTGAACTAGGCTTCCGCGTGTGAGGTGGGAGTGGTTTAGGAAACCTCAAGGAAGGAGTGGTGGAAACGCGCCAACGGCCACAACCCGAAGACATAGTTGTTTATCGCACTACAGTTCTTATGATTTGCCTTTTCTTGTTGCGATGGTTGCTGCGCTGCAGATTACGTTGCACTGTAGTTTGCTGCGCTAGCCTCCTCCGTTGCCTCACTTAAGCTTGAGCGTAGGTTCAGTTGTTTTTGTTTTTTTCATGTGAGTCGGGAATGGTTTCGCTAGGGTCAGGAAGGGCGTGCTGTTCAAAGCGCCCTCCACCATGTGATGGCATGTTTCTCCAGCGCGGGGTCTCTGGATGTTCCGCACGTAAATCAGCCATACATGTCTCCAGCTTCCTGGCATGTTTGAGTTGCATCCTTGCGAGGCCTTGGCTGTCCTGTGTGTTGCGATCTTTCCTTGCATCTGACTCGGTATCCCACGCGGGCTCGACGCGGATTCGACATGGATTCGACGTGGATTCGACATGCATTCGACGTGGAGTCGACATGGATTCGACGTGGATTCAACGCAGATTCGACGCGAATAGCGACGCGATGGGACAGGCAATGCCCCCGAAGATGCAGCATACAATGCGATTGCTCCAGCCATGTGCCCGGACCCCTTCCCCAGGGGGGTAGCGTTTGGTCCCGGATCCGCTCCTGATGGTCCTCGGGTCCGACTGGGCCTCAGAGGCGGAATCCGACGAAGAATGCTCAGATCGGAAACAGCATCTCGTTGGAGATCGAGGTGCAGTCGGACCGAGGTAGAAGGTCGAGGTCGGTTCGGTGAGGGTACCCTCATGTTCTTCGTGTTTGGTTTGCTGGAGGTTCTTGTGCACTCTTGGCAGGGTACCCTTGGATGTTGTGTGTGTTTTGGCTGGCGGAGGTTCTCATCTTCTTGTAGAGTGCTCGTGTGTCCTGGATCCGACGGTATGTCTCTAGCTTCCTGGCACGGCAGGGGCAACGTTTGGGGATTGGCTCAGAGGGGGACGCATCGACCCCCCTTTCGGCAATTGATCGCCGACACGGGCCTGTCCACCCCGCCCAGGAGTGTCCGGATTCGCCATCGGGGGCCTCTTTCGGAGGTTGTTAGGCTTCTCACCCTGACACGCCGATTAGCGGATTGGCAGTTTTCTCGGTTCGCGAGAGGGCGTCGCAGCCGTCATCTCTGCGGGCCCAGGTCCGTCGGTCTCGGTCCTGGGCCGTTTGCACCACGGGGTGGTTCACTAGAGGGAGGTCTGTCCACCGCCGACTCTTGCCGACATCGGCGATGTGTCTCAAGCAGTGGCGAAGCGTCTTGGCTCGCATATAGCCCTACCAAACAATTTTCTAAGAACCTGTTGTGGCTTCCACGAAATATTCTTAGAACAGTTCTGGCGGAGTCTGTCTTATTTTATCACATCGGGCTTCATGTTTTAAGAACGCTGTTTTTGTTATTGGAACATCCTTGGGTTCTAAGAGCACTTCGTGGTAGGACTATAGGAATGCCGGGGCCGTCGGTCCCTGCTCGAAAGTGTCGCCGATCCCCGGGCCGCTGCTTCCCTGCCCGTGGGCCGGTCCTCTGGTGGGCTTCGGGCGCCACGGCTCGGGCCTCTGGCGGCCGTGCGGGACGGTCGCGGGCGCCCCCCTTCGGCATGCTCTCGGCGAGGCGCAGGCGCCGAGAGGCTTCCCGAGGCGCTGAAAGTCTAGGCCTCCCAGATGGGGTCGGAGAGGATGTGGTCGGCGGATCGCGCCGCATCGCCGATGCATCAACCATGCGGCGCGATGCGGAGCCCGGTTTTCTCCACGCTGGCGTCGCCGATACATCGCCCACGTGGACGATGCGCATCGCCGGTGCATCGCCGATGCATCGCCGATGCATCGCCGATGTATCGGCGATGCGGCGCGATCTTCCGACCCCATCTACTCGGACCCCATTGGAGGCATCTAGAAAGGCCGCCGGGAGCCAAGACGATTACGATGCATCTCGAAGGGGACAGGCGGGGTCAACCGAAGAAGCAGCCCCAGCATGTCCCGTGAGCCTCTCCTCTGCTGTTCCCGAGGAGGTGCTCGCGCTGCGCTTGCCGCCCGCGCCGGAGCATCCGCCCCACATCCTTGGCCGCGCGTCCGGGGGGCGGCACCTCGCCAGCCCCGGGGCAGTCAGGCGTTGTCATTTCGGGAGTTGTCAGAGTCGCCTGCCTCTAGGGTGTCGATCTTCTGGGGCCTCGGCAGGCGGTGTACATGGACGTGTTCCGGCCCCCTGGATCCAAACGATGTCCATGCCCACGGCCTCCTTCGGCTCCAGGATGTCGGTTTGCGAGGCGGCGGGTATGGCGATATCCCCACCCCCGCAATCAACATGACTGACCTTTCGGGATCCGCCCGGGCCTCTTGGATCTGCGATGGCGCTCAGAGGACGAGATGGTGCCGACACCGCTGCCCCTGCCTCGTGTTCGCCCATGTGGGCCTCCCGGGTGCCCCTCGTCGCCACGGCGGGCGTCGCCTCGAAGTCCTGGGCAGAAAGCACCCCTGGAGAGGTCCGGGGATCCTCGATACCCTCCTCCCCGGGCGAAGACACTCGCAGGAAGGTTCGTCGCTATTTCCGGCCTCTCGGGGGCCTCGCCGCGCAGGAACCGTCGGGAAACCATGCGGGAGGAACAGCCAGTCCTCGGGGAGGGGATGTAGACCGCCGGGGGTGCACGGCAAGCGAGGGAAAAGACACGACGGGGGTCGTTTGGAGATCGGTTAGGGCCAGTGGCCCTGCCGCCTCGAAGTCCTGGGCAGAAAGCACCCCTGGAGAGGTCCGGGGATCCTCGATACCCTCCTCCCCGGGCGAAGACACTCGCAGGAAGGTTCGTCGCTATTTCCGGCCTCTCGGGGGCCTCGCCGCGCAGGAACCGTCGGGAAACCATGCGGGAGGAACAGCCAGTCCTCGGGGAGGGGATGTAGACCGCCGGGGGTGCACGGCAAGCGAGGGAAAAGACACGACGGGGGTCGTTTGGAGATCGGTTAGCATCCTCCTTCCCCTGGCCAGTGGCCCTGCCTTGGTGCCTCCGCATCAGGGGACGATCTGCCCCCCCCCCCCCCCCCCGTCTTTTGTCGAGATGCCCGCTGGGCAGATTCCCCCGAATCGGCCTTCCAATAGGCGGCGGGCTGGCTTCGATGCGTGAGCCCTCCCAGGAGAGCTCAGCTGGCCGAGTCCTCGACCGACCGACCAGCCGACCTGCCCCTTAGTCGCGGGAGGGGGGAGGGGCAGTCCCTCCTCCTCCTCCTCCACTCCTCAGCTCGACCCTTCGCCTCCCCCTCCCCGTCTTCCTCCTCCCCATCCTCGATCCTCACTCTCCAGAGGAAGTGGCGAGCCCCTCTGTGGCGACTCCCCCCTTGGCATTGCCAGGGCCGCTCCTTTGCGCGCGGCCGGGCCTCACCGTCTCGCGCGGCGGGAGCGGCGGGAGGTCGGCCGAGCGGTCCTGCCGCCGCCCCGCGCGGGCGCCGAGGCGGCGGCGCCGGCCTCGCTGCAGCTTGCGGGGGCGCAGGTTGCCGAAGAAGGGCAAGCCGCATAAGCTCCGAGGCTTGATCAGGAGGAGGATGAGCAGGAGGATGAGGAGGATGAGGAGGAGGAGCAGGAGGAGGATGAGGAGGATGAGCAGGAGGAGGATGATGATGAGGAGTATGATGATGATGATGATGATGAGGATGAGAGGAGGAGGAGAGGGGAGGAGGAGGAGGAGGAGGAGGAGGAGGAGGAGGAGGAGGAGGAGGAGGAGGAGGAGGGAGGAGGAGGGGGGGTGGGGGGAGGGGGGAGGAGGAGGAGGAGGAGGAGGAGGAGGAGGAGGAGGAGGAGGAGGAGGAGGAGGAGGAGGAGGAGGAGGGCTTGATCTGTCCATGATCACCGCCTCCTTGCATCGCCGCGGGGGGGCGGTTCTGTGGATAGGGGGCCAGGGGTGGGTGCTGTGGTGGGTTCTGCTAGACATGGCCTAGCTTGTAGGGGTTGCAAGTGCCCTGAGTGGCTCAGGGTGGATAGGTAATTCCGCTGAGTGGTCTGCGCCCGTTTGGCCTGGACCTGCATTCCCCACTTAGACAATTTGCAACCCACTCAAATGCCAGCTTCGGCCAAATGTAACCCACCTTTGCATCCACTTGTAACCCCGTTCTGCTGTTAGTACCCCCCGCGGCGGTCCGAGCAGGGGTTGGAGATCCGTGGGGCCTCGTCAGGCGGTGGATGTGGATATGTTCGGGCTCCTGGGCCGAACTATGTCCAGGTCCACCGCCCCATTAGGTCGCAGGGCATCGTTTCCCCAGGCGGTAGAGATGGATATATCCCTTTCCCCAGGTGGTCTCGGTGTCGCCTCTTTGCGCCTCCTGGAAGCCCCCCCGTCGCCAAGGCTGGATTCGCTTCGGGAGGTCAGAACGTACCCCTGGAGAGGTCATCGGAGGCGCTGTGTCGGTATCGCCTGGTTTCCCCAGAGCTCCTTGGCGAGCTGCTCGCGCCAGGGAGGGTTGGGTCAATCGGCCCAAGAAGTCCACGTGGGCCTCCGAAAGTTGTGTGCTGTGCAATGTGTTTTCCCTTTCGAGGTTGGCGTCATCACCGAGGCTCGGGCCTTGGGAAAAAAGGCGGGGGGATTGTCCCCAGGCGTCCAACTTGGCGGCGCCCACAGGTGGCTGGCGCGAGGGGGATGGGCTTCTAAGAAGGCGGCGGGGGGATATTCTGAGAAGTCCGCCCGGCTCCTGGGATGCCTTTGACTTCTACGAAGTTTCGCGCCCCTCGCGCTACCCCCTGCGCGCCGCCAAGCCACGCCCTGGAGCAAAGCAGGGCGGATGCTGTTCACAGTTTTCGGTCTCTGGGGGGGGGTCTCGCCGGGCCCTCTGGGACCGTCAACACTGAAGCCCGATCTTCTCCACCCTGTCGTCGCCGATGCACCGGCGATGCGGCGCGATCTTCCGGCACCACCTGCTCCGGGCCCACCTGGGAGGCCTACAGTTCGGGGAGAGGGAGGGTGCTGCGAAATCTGCGGCACGCAGCTGGTTTTGGCCCTGCCGCTGGGCGCGCTCCTCCACACCTGGCCGCGCCCCTCGGCGCCGCCCTGGCGCCGGAAGGAGCAGCCGCACCAGGCGAGCCGCAGTCCTCCTCCTCCTCCCCCTCCTCCTCCTCCTCCTCCTCCTCCTCCTCCTCCCTCTCCTCCTCCTCCTCCTCCCTCCTCCCTCCTCCTCCTCCTCCCCTCTCCTCCCCTCCTCCTCCTCCTCCTCCTCCTCCTCCTCCTCCTCCTCCTCCCTCCTCCTCTCCTCCTCCTCCTCCTCCTCCTCCTCCTCCTCCGTTCCCTTCCTTTTTTGGGGGGGCTGACCGGTTCGGGCGACGGGCTCGCCCTGCAGCTCCCGCAGCTGGTGCGGGTCGGTGCCTGACCGTCTGCGAGCGCCCTCTGACCCACGGCGCCAGTTGAACAGTGTTCCAGCGATGCGTGGTCCGTTTGCGATTCTGATCTCGCTCGTTGGCAAAGGCGGAGCCAAGACATCACGAGGGAAATCGAGACAAAGACAAGGCGAGACCGAAAAACGCTGCTCAGCCCGCGCCCTGCTGCACCCCCCCTGCGGGCATCCCCCCCCCCCCCCCCGCGCCGCGCGGCCCGAGAGAGGTGCGCTGGTTCGCGCAGGGGGAGCTGCCGTCGGGCTGACCGCCGGCGCACCCGCTCTCGGCGCGGAGAGGAGGGGGGCGGGCCTGGGCGCGCACGGCCTCGGGCGGTCTCCCGCCCCCTGTTTGGCGTCGCTCGGGCGTGCGCACTGTTCTCGGCGAGGCCCGCGCCCCACAGAGGGTCTGGACCATGCTGGAGCATCCTGGGCCACCTTGAGAAGAGCAGCGCGCGGACACGGACGCGAAACGAAACGATGCACCGGGGACGGACGTCCGAGCGATGGCAGGCTCCCTGGCCCCGAGTCCCCCCCCCCCCACGACTCTCAGGCGCCCCGAAACGGTGCGGTGGGGATGGCTTCGGGGTCACTCAGAGCGTGAATTACCTACCCCGCTTGCGCTTCCAGGCAAAACCAAGTCGTCATACCACGCCGCTCCTCGTCAAGCGGCCTGACCAGCGCAGGCCGCAGTTTGGCGTCGCGTGGTATCTCTTGGAGGCGAGGGTGGTCAAAAGCGAGGTAGGTCTGTTTGCGCCCCAGTCGCCGCACGTTTTCGCGGGTCGATCTCCGAGGGCGCCTCGGGTGACTGCCACCGCACGGCACACGGCCCTGGGGCCCCGCAGAATCAGCCCGCTCAGAGAAGGAGGTAGGAATCCGAGGATGCACCGCCGGGGGGGGGGGGCGCTTTGGACGCACCCATCTGTCGAGGATGGGCGCCCCCCCCAACGTCGTATCTCCCAGAGTTTGGCAAGACGTCTTCCTGCTTGGTCTGGATTCCTATAACGTCGGGGATTGAGGTCGCCATGCCACCCGCCATACAGGCGACCCGTATAGGTAAGGGTGGCCGACTTCCCTAAAGAGTAAGCTTGCATCCTGGTCTTTCGGTCATCTTCGGTCCATCCTCGATCACTTTCGATGGGCAGCCCCGCACGAAGAGCCTCGGCATGAGCGTCCAAGGCCCTTGCATCCTTACCGTGCGTCCTTGTTATACGGCTTGACTGTATCAGTCCTGAGCATTTTCGTTGGCCGTCACTGGCCTCCCCGGGCCCTCCCTGGCCCCCCCCCCAGGCCGTCAAAAGGCGACTCATGGAATGGAAGGCTGGTCCCGAGGAACCCGTGGCGGGCGAGGTGGGAAAGTGAGAAGGAGAATGCCTGCTCGGGAGGCGGCGGGGCTTCTCAGAAGCCCTCAGGCATTCCGAGAGGCCTTCTGCGTCAGCCCCAGCAGGCTTGGAAAAAGCGTTGCAGAAGGCCGGGAGAAGTCCGAGCCTTCTGACAGGGCCCGCCCCTGCTCACTTCCCCCCCCCGGGCTCGCCGCCGAGGGCAGGCCCCGGGGTCTGTCGCGCGCTGCATGGTCGGGGGGGCGCTGGCTGTCTCCTGCAGCCTGCTGTCTTCGCCTGTGCCCGAGGCGAGTTCGACGCGAGCTCGACACGGACGCGACGCGGCTTCGGTCTCGATCCGACGCGCTCGACACGAATTCGGCGCGACTTCCACGCGGCTGCTGGCGTGACGGGGCAGAGGTAGTCCCTTCGAAGATGCAACTCCTCCTCCTCCTCCGATTCCACCACTTTCCTGTCCCTCGTGCCCGGGTCGCGGCGCACGAGGCGAGGGCGTTGGCCGTTTTTTATTTCGTCTTCTGTGCGTGCCGGCCGGGAGCTCGTCCGCCTCAAAACTATACAGGCAGACTCCCTCCAATGGACTGTGCTTGGGGCTCAGGGGAGGGTGGCGAAGGACAAGTATAGCGCCAGTTTTAATACATGCTCCTCGTGCGGATCATGTATTAAAATACAAGGATTTAGTATTAAAAACATCGATTAGTTCATGCATACATTTAGTCATACATTAATCATGTAAAATCCTACATTCTTACAACAATCCTATGTGTTAAACACTGCCTCTATGTATCACCACTGAGAGCCAGTGACCTTATACACCGCCACCATCCCTGGAGGTACTGGCAAATGTCATCGCTGGGCGTCTGTGTACATGTTCGTTGCGTATCTCGGGGCATCGGTGGCCGATTCTTTCTCTCTCTCTCTCTCTCTCTTTCTGAGGTTTTGGCGTGACCGTTGGGGCCAGGCTGCACGCAGAAGGGGGGCTGGCGCGGGGGGGAGGCTTCATCCGTGATAGCGCTTCGTCGAAAGGAAGAGGAGAAGAGCGAGGGAATTTCTAGGGGGATTTAATACGTCAGGCTTGCACGGGGTTGCATGAAGCCGCCCAAATGGATCAGAGCAGATGAAGTCGGTGGGTCGCACGGCATCGCAGGAGTGTAGAACACTGGGCTCCGCATTGCGCCGCGTCGCCGATGCATCGGTGGTGCGGCAAGATCCACCGACTCCAACTACTCGGGCCCCGTCTGGGAGGCCTGGAAGGAGAGCCTGTCGGGTCTTCGGGAACTTCCTACACATTTCCGGCGAAAGGCAGCATGGATAAGGACGAGTGGATCTGGGGCGCGGTCGCCAAGAATCCACGGATCGGGTAAGGCGACCCGGAGCAACGGCGCCAAGGCGGTAATTATGATTTGGGGGCGGAGCGCGCCGATTCCGGGAGGAAGCGGCGCCCCTCGCGACTCCACGCGCGCGCCTTGACCAAGGCGCTCCCTCGAATGAGATCGAAGAACTCTTTTGGATCCAGGAGGCGCACGGATCAGCTCAGGAGGGAACAAAACACACAGACACAAGTAATCGTCGATCTCCAAGAAAATATACGAAATATGGGAATTGGGCGGGAAGACAAAAAAAACAGAAAATCTGGTAAAATATGGGGAACCATTTTATTTGTGTGTAGTTATTTGTGTGTCCTTGGGCCTCTTCATCAGCAACGGGTCCTGTTTCCGTGCAGAATCGGCGCGCTCCGTCGCCCAGTCGGGCGGCAGTGGCTTCTCATCAGAGTGAGGGTGACCCCGGACGGTCTTGCTTCTCCTCCTCCTCCTCCTCCTCCTCCTCCTCACCCTCCTCCTCACCCTCCTCCTCCTCCTCCTCCACCTCCTCCTCCCCCTCCTCATCCCTCCTCCTCTTCCTCCTCCTCCTCCTCCTTCTCCTCCTCCTTCTCCTCCTTCTACTTCACCCCTGGGCGTGCGTGGCCGTTGCGTGCCCGTTTCTGCTCGACGGGGGGGGGTCTTTGCGCGGGGGGTCCTCGGCGCGGAGTGCTGGGCGGGCGGGGAGTTCTGGGCGAATGCCTTCGGCGAGCGAGCCGCCGCACCCTCACGCGCACCCGCAGGTGCGGGGCGCTGCGTGTCTCGGGGTGCTCCCCCCGCCCCCCTATTGCGCCCCTCCCGAGCCCTTCCTGGGCAGGAGCTGCGCCCCGCCCTGGCCGCGAGGGCGTCCTCGGGCGTCCCCCCTCCCCGCCCCTCTTAGAGCGCGTGCCGGGAAGGGCCGGAGGCAGCCGAGACGCTGAAGCTGAAGCGAGGGCCACTTGAGGCTTCGCAGGGGCCCTGATTGACGGGCCGCTCCCCTTCGGCACAGGTCGGGGAGCCGATTCGCGGCCGAGGCCAGCCGTGGCGGGGGCAGCCCTTTCGTGCCTTACGCGGCGTCCAGTGCGTCAGCACGAGGCGTCGTCATGAGCCACGAGTGCAGAGGACCCTCTCAGACGCCTTACTCGGCGTCCTTCTGAGTGTGGGCCCCTCGTGCCTTACTCAGTCCTGCGTGCCTTACTCGGTGTCCTTGCGAGTGCAGGACCCTCTCAGAGATCCGATGCCTCGAGGTACTTCTGCACGGGGGCCCTTTGGCAGAAGTCCCGGCCCTTTCCCCGCGGCCGGCTCGTCGTCCCAGGCTGGCCTTTGGACTGCCCTTGGCCATGCCATCTCGCGCAAGACCCGTTTCTGATCAGCGCTCGCTTGCTCAGAGGGGGGGGGGGGCGGGGCAGCCGGGCGGGGCGCCGCGTGCGCCGCGTGGGCGGGCCGGCGGTCGCGGGCAGGCGCCGGGCGCCGGTGGCCGGCCCGCGGCCGCTGCATGGGGGGCCTTGGCGCGGGTCGGTGGTCTCTCGGGGGAGGGCCAGGCGTGGCGGGCACCGCAGGGACGAACCACGACCCAGGAGGGGGCGAAAGCACAGAGACACAATGTACCAGCCTCGAGCTGATCCCTGTCCCTGAGATTGACACGCCAAAGAGCGATGGCAATCTGAGGGATGCGCCCTCAAAAAATAAGGGAATCCCTATGGTTGGCATCGTGATGAGGAGATGTCCAGCATAGGGATAGGGATATGTTCCAGGCTGGTAAACAATTCACCACCGCTTCCCAGGAAAAGATAGGAATCTATGGGAAGTGTGGGGGAGACGAGAACCCAGAAAGTAGGGGAAAGTAGGGAGAGTCCTGGGATCTGTGCGTATTTATTTGTGTGTCTCTGGGCCCCTTTCACAACCACAACTGGGTGGCCTTTTCGGGAGGGCCCCTCGGGAGATGACTCACCGACCTCGACAAGAGCACTTTGGTTGTGATTGTGGTCGGTTGGGTCGTCCTGGGGCGCCGCATCGACCACAACCGGTACGGAGCTGGCTTCGGATTCCCGACAATTTGGGCATGCGCAAGACAACCTCCAGGGTGTATCCTCGTTGTGGTCGCGTTGCTGTCTCCGCAAGCGTGTCCATAGGGGAGACGCTGCGCGCATCGGACGAGAGATCGGTGCCAGACTGCCAGACTGGAAGGGCATTGCGGGGCTGTCGACCCTTTTCCGTGCTCGGTGCTCCTCCTCCTTCTCCTCCTCCTCCTCCTTCTGTCAGAAGGGAAAAGCATACAGACACAAAGGGTCGTCGTTTCCCATGGAAATATGGAAAAATAGGAAGTGGTGTGGAAGACGAACATGCAGAAAATACTGGAAATAGGGGGAATCCTGGGATCTATGTCCATATCTTTGTGTGCCTGGGCCCCCTTCAATTTGCTCCTCCTCTTTCTCCTCCGCCTCCTCCTCCGCCTCCTCCCATCCAGTGAGGCGGAGAGATCAGCCTCCTGGCAGGTGCCCCACGCAAGGCTCCAATTCGTGGATGGCGCGTACAAGAAAGGATTTCGCCTTCGGCGCGTCTGCCCTCGGCGGCGGCCGGCGGAAGGTGGCGGAAGCACACCGGAAGCAGGCGGAAGTCAGAGGAGCCAGAGGTCATGATCGAGGACCCAGCAAGTCGGGGAGGATCGAGGATCGCGACTCTTTGAGCGCTCCTGGCCCCTCGGGCCCCCGGAGGCCCAGGAGTCCCAGCGTCGCAACCAAGGAGACGCGACGACTGGTCTTTCGACGCGCTCTGTCTCTGTCGTCGAGCTGTAAGAAGCCCGACCGGGAAACACCGATTGTTAACCCGCATTGCCGTCGGCCCTTTATCATTATCGTGGGAATGCAAGAAGTCATGATCATGATACGTTCCAGTATTTCCAAGGTTTCCAGGATGTCCCATGTTTTAAATCCGACTGTTGCGCCGCTAGGTACTTTGGAAATCCTGGGATGCGCACATGAACCAATATCTTCATGACATCATTTCCTCCCTAGGAAGGCCGTTGGAAGCCGGCGGGAGCGAAGCGAGACGCCAACTATTTTTTGACCCGGGTTTCGAGAATGACGGGCTCTGCTTTTCGGCCGTACCTTACGCCCCTGTTGGTGGCCGAGACTTCAGCTTGCATGATGACTGTGCCGCAATGTGGGGAGGCGTGTTCCCTCCCACTATCAATGCATACATATGTGTGTCTGCCTGTATGTATGTGAGTGAGTGTATGTGTATGTGTATGTGTATGTATATTTGTATGTGCATTTGTATGTGTATGTGTTTGTATGTCTGTATGTCTGTATGCCTGTATGTCTTTATGCCTGTATGTCTGTATGTCTGCCTGTCTGTCTGTCTGTCTGTATGTATGTATATATGTAAATATGTATGTGTACATATCTATATATACATATATATGATATCTGGGGCTGCGAAAGAGGGACGCTGGTTCCGGCAAGTCCCAGGACACAGACGTTGCCGCAACCGGATGGTTGTCTTCTGCCTCTTAGTCTCTCCTTGGCCCGATTTTGCACACTGGATCCCCATGCCCACCAGCTGAGATGTGGGGACGCCTGCAGGCAATGCAAAGGGCAGAGGGCACAGGGGGGGCGACATCTTTCTCTTCTAGATCCCAAGGAGGAGGACAAACGAGGATTTAGGCTTCCGGCGGTTTTACCCGTTTGGAGGCTTGCGGAGGGTTACGGGGGCCTTGGAAGACTGGGGCGCCTCCAGAGAAAGCCTCCGGAGGCATCCCGAGACCTCCAGAGGCGTCCGGATGGGTGGGTGCGGGAGAGACATGGCTGCCTAACCGCCCGTTCGTCGCCAATCGGGGCTTCGGTGCCCCACCCTGCTCAGGAGCGTGTGGTCTCGCTGCCTGGAGCTCATCGCCGATCCAGTGCCCGTGGCACGGTGGTGGCATCTCGCGATGCAGCGGCATCCGCGCAGCATCTCGCGCGCCCGCATCCCGTGATGCAGCGGATCTTGCCCCCACTGCGGTCGTGGGTCTCGGTAAGCCTCTGTGTAGAGTTGCTCGGCGGCGGTCCCCGCCCATGCGGCTGCAGCG